TAGCTGGGGTTGTCTTACCCCAGCGCTCTTTCCTGCCCAGGACAGGGGGTTGGACTCAATGACCTACTGAGGTCCCTTCTGACCCAAACAACTATGAATCTATGAGAGTCCCCAGTGCTCAGCCTTTCCAAACCAGGATGGCTCCATTCGTTTAGCAATACAAGAAAGGGGCAGGCACAAAAACCTGAGACACCTGGTTGCATTCCCCCGGGCTGAAAACTGAACTAGAGGACCCATTAAGGCCATGGCGCAAAACATCCACCCTAGTTTATTCAAACCATGTAGAATCTAAGCTTCCCTTTCTTAAGTAAGTTTTCTAGTTTCTAGCATGATTAGCCATTTCATATCTGGAGAGTTCACAACCCAAATGTTTCCTACCAAGTCTACAGACAACCTTACCCAGTAAGAAAGGGGAACTCCTCTGCCACTCAGTAATCTCATTGACATGCCAAGGATAAAACTTAAGGAAAAGACATAAGCAATAACCATTACACTCACTGTGATTTATTTTAGCAGACTTATTGAGATTATTCATTTTCACCTTGTCCAATCCCCATAGGACAAGAGTGGGCAATTATCTAGGCCTGGGAGCCACATAGGGAATTCTGATGAGTTATCACAGGCTGAGTCGGCACCCACACCTCCCCCACACAACTCACTAAAACTCCCTATGTGGAATGGGGCTGTGGGTGGGTGGGGAGCGGTGTTTAAGAGCAGGATGGGTGGGCAAGGCCACGATCACAGGGCAGGGTCATGGGGTGTTGACAGTGTGGGGCCAGGGCCCCCCAGGCTAAAGCCACAGTCTAATGCCCAGATGCCCCTACAACAGGAGGAGATTCCACAGGCAGGAGCATACAGGGAGCAGATCGTGGCTCTGCCCTGACCCTGCGCTGTCACTACCCCAAGATCCCAGATCCTGGCCCTGGAGGCGGCTCTCCACCCAGCAATGCACCCTGTTCTTGGGGCTCGCAGCCGGTCTTCATGGAAACCCCAGGATTGTGGGGTGGGGACAGCATGGGGCTGGGGCTAGGATTGGGACAGAGCCCTGGTTCCATGGGCAGGAATGTGCAGGGCCAGACTGAGGGCCTGGAGCAGAGTCGCAATCCACTCCCTGCATGCCACTCCCTGCATGCCCCTGGCCAGGGCAGGGGGAGGAAGGGCAGGGGAATATGCATGTTGAGTGGGGGAACTGCCTGGGCGCTAGGTTCTGGGAGCTAGCTGAGGGGTAGGGAAGGGAGGAGAGGACAGGAAGCACGTGCAACAGAGCTTGCCCAGACAGTGCAGTCTATGGCTGCTCCTGTGGTGCTCAACATGGTGTTGAGCCTCTCCTACTCTCCCCAGTTTCCCTCATTTGCATTCCCTGCAACCTACCCCACTGAATAGATTTCCCACTTGCATACTTTCAACTTTGTTTGGAGTGCAAAACAGACAACTGTTTACATTTCTGAACTTGGTCTAGCTCAGTAGTTCTAAATTGGGTACACATGCCACGGGTGCCACATCAGCTGCACTGTCTCAGGGTAACAGTGGCCCGCATGCCTCTTTTCAGGAGGCAAGTCAGACATACCGAGAAGCAGCTTTAGCAGAAAGGCACACCTACCTGCATTACATTATGAAGGCAGGCACACTGTTTCTGGTTCAGCCATCCCGGTTTTGCACCTCTGTTTCCAGGAGACACTGAGCAGGCTCAGACTGGGAAGGGCTGCAGCAAGAGCACACACTCCCACCACAGCCATTTCCTGATCTGGCTCGGGAGGCAGTGTGTGACAGTTGCATCTGGCCACCATGGTGGGAGCAGTGAGATGAATATAATATACTTATATTGATCTAAGCTATTAATGATTAATTAATAATATAATTATAAGGTTTGTATCATAATGTCTTAATATATTTATAATAGTTGTGAAATGGGATATCACTAAATTTTGAAAAGTTTTGAAGGGATTCCCTGAGTCTCGAAAGGTTAAGAAACACTGGTCTAGCTGCTTCTGTGTAGCAAGAAAAGCTAGTACAAGAACTACAGTAATGTTTGGAAGCTACAGTGAATAAGTAGTTTAAAAATCTAGAAACACTGTCAGATCAACTGTTAGGTAACACAAGAGACAATTAAAGGGTTTAATAGACTGGCCAAGATCGACAGTCAAGTCACAATTTGAAAGATTTGTCCTACTGAAAAGTGGCTGAAGTTACACTGTCTGAGGTTACAAGAGTACAAATGTTGTATTCTTCTGGAGACACCTCCAAGACTCAGTAACTGTAGGAAAAGTTTGCAGAACTTTTAACGGTGGACACTGGAACAAGCTATTAAAGTGAAGCCATGGTTTCTTAAAGGTTTTGAATCAAGACTGATGCCTTTCTGAAAAATATGCTTTAGTCTAACACGTGTTTTAGAGTTTACTACAGGAATGACCGAGTGAAATTCAATGTTCTGTGCTATACAGAAGGTCAGACTAGATAATCTAATGGTTCCTCCTGTATTTACAAGTCTAGGAAGCCACAAACATTTCATCTGTTTATTTTCAGTTATGTTTAAGCAGTCAAGTTCCTTGTACACAAAGTTAATCCTGCACAAATACATGTATTTCTTTCTGATGAAGGGTTTAGCTGCCTGCTTGAATCTGCAGCCCACTCCTGTTCCTGCTCCTTCCACAAGCAGAACATTAAAGCTTTTCAGAACCCTTTACACAACAGCAAAACTGTTAAGATAATATAGAAGAACCCAATATTGAGGAGAAACAGAAAGAAGCATAAGACAGCCTAAGTCAATAAGCTAGGAAGTGGGCAGGGAGGAAGAGATGGAAAAATCCATCCAACTGTTCATACACTGTCTGTATCACTGTAGTACCTGAGTATCAAACTAGATGCCAATTAAACATCTAAAAGAAAGCTTTTGTGTAAAGTACAAGAGCAACCTAGCAAAAGTCTCCCCCCATACTCCACAACAAGTAATTTGCTTTCCTTCCCAGGAAGCCACCCTACGTTTTAATCATGTTCTTTACTTTCTTTTTGTATCAACTTCTGGCTACTATATTTAAGTGCCATAGTTTGAATAGATCTGAAATTTTCACAGGTTTAATGTTACATGTTCTTGTCTGCCAAATCCTGAACCTTCAGCAACATTCTGTAGCTGCCAGCAATCACAAGCCCCAATACGTTGAAAACACTTCAATGACATGAAATCAAACATACATGCCATCATCTCACACCTGGACACAACCCTATGCTGCTTAGCAGAGAAGAAGAACTGCCCAACAGGATATGCAAGTGCACACACAAGTACCTATTCCCTGTGAACAGGCATCAAGAGTCATGGGTACTATTACGAGAAATGGCTGTGAATCATTTTGGGAAACTAACTAGCTCTGGAAATGCAAAGAGCTAATACCAACCTCTTCTAAGCTTTCAGACAGACTCCAAATGAGCTGCTTTTTTTCAACATCATTTTTGGCCTTCAACAAATACCAATGACCACCACAGACCCAATCCCAAATTAACCTGTCAGACCCAAGAGAAATCATGAAAAGAGACATATTCACTATTCAAGCTGCATCCAATAAAGGTGATCTAGTCTGAAAGACCGAATGGGGAAGCAAACTGGGGCAATTACTCCAGGCCCCACACTGGGAGGCCCTGCAGAGCTGGGTGGAGAGGCAATGCAGCTGCAGTTTAGCCCAGCCACCCACCTGGTGGGGTGGACAGCTCTTCTTGTTCCGGCCGGAAGTTCCAGCCACCACACATCTCGCTGCATCTAGTGTGCCAGGGCTTTCACTCCCTGGTTAAGTGTGCTGTGGGATGGGGAGGGGAGTCCTGCACCCTGCTGGCACTGTCTCTGCTGCTCAGACAGATCTGCAGCATTCACAAGAAAGAAGCAATGTGAAAAGTTTCTAAACTAGATAGTATCATACAAGTTCTACTGCAGCTACACTGACATCAGCATGTGGGGCCTCTCAGTCCACAGGCCTCAACAAGAACTGCCTTCTTCATAATCAGTCAAGCTACCAAAAAACTCAGTTACTAGTGATAACTCCTATGTTTGCCTTTCAGTCACCACGGAGGAAGCACATGAACCTTGATTCTGAGGTGTGATCTGCTTGGACATGTTACATAAATACAACTGAACTGTCGCACACACATGAAACAAGAAGCTGAAAGAACCCCTCTAAAGGTGAGTTCCCTAAAGATAGACAAAATAAACCAGAAAAATAATGTTATTATGAATCCAAAGAAGCACTGGTTATTATTAACCCAGCTTGGCACTACCAGCTGCGGCAGTTACATTCCCGAGGCAGCTTAGGGGGGCTCTCTCAGATGCAAGCAGCAGTCCCACACTATGGTGCAGGCCAGACGTCAATGAGGGAAGACTCCTCCACAGGGATGGGCAGCGTCTCAGAAGCAGGAATTTAAACCGACTCCCACCAGATTCAACTGTCTACTCTGAACAAAATGGACAACTCGGAACACAGCCTGAATATGGGGGAGGGGCTTCCCCCCCCATTCAAACTGAAACATCAGATGTGTTGCTGTGCTACTCTAAATAAGGCCACAGCCTTGGATGCCTCCCCCTCCAGCACTGGCTATGGATGCGGGCAGTGCTCTTCACTTCCGTTTCCCCTCCGTGTTACCAAGGAGATGCCAGGAGCTGCGGGCCCCTGGGAGCCCGGTCCCACCTGACTTGGCCAAGCCCCCCCCCCGCCACGTGGCTCGCACAGGCTTTCCTAGGGGCAACCTCTGCAATCGCGTGGGCGAGGGGGCACCGGAACGGGACAGGAACCGGCCCACGGTTCGTCCTACGTCCTCCCTCCCCTGAGCGCCCCAAGCCCCGCGCGCTGAGCCCCGCTCTGCCCCGGTCCCCACTGCTTCTTCCGCCCTGCAGATGCGGGGGAGCCGCGGGGGAGCCTGAACCCCGGCGGCAGCGGGCGATGCTTGAGCCCGAGCCGGCCTCAGCCCCTGCCTGGGCCCCGCGGCCGTATCGCGATAGGGTCGCGCCGCCCGTCACTGACCGCCGCATCCAAAATGGCGGCGCCTGCTCCCGGGGCGGCCACCGCTTCACATAGCGGGCAAGGGGCGGCGCTGCGAGCCGGGCGCCCGCGGAGGAAGCGCCCCGGGCGGCGGCGGGCGCGGTGCGGGTGCAGGGCCGGGAGAGCCGCGTCCGGCCGGGAGCGGGCGACAGAAACCGGCTCCACTCCGCTCTCACTGACGTGGAGACAACCTCACCCGAACCCGCTGCCTGGTTACTGTGCTGACGAGTATGCCCGAGAGCCAACCAAAACACAGCCTGAAGTGACACAGGCAGAGCTACCCAATGAGAACTCGGCCCTGGGGAGAGAGGCGGTGCAGCAGGCGGGCCCCCAGTGACGGATAAAAAAACCAATTACATGAAAGAAAGTAGGATTGGCAGGACTGTTGACCAATAGGAAAAGGGAAGTGTGGAGGAGGAGGCGCGCTAACCAATAAGGGCCAATCAAGTATGGTAGAACTGCAGGGGAGTT